TTCTGAGAATGAGGATGGGTGGTTTCTGGACTGCCGCTTGTAGGACTTGGAGCTAGCAGCAACAGAGAACGGCTGAGAGTCGTCAGTGGACATAGTGGCTTGGAATGAAGATAGGGGGAATTGCGTGCATGTGGACGCGACTAATAAGGCACAGCAGTCCGGCACTTCCCTTCCCAGTCGGGGTGTGATTTTGGTACGATACTTCGACTACTAACTACCACTCAGTGATTCCGACTTCTTGCTTCTGCCGGTGTAAGATAACCCGTTCACATGCCCCTGGACTGCTTCAAATGGTGGAATACAATATATATATATGCATGTATTCAACTGTCTAGAACAGCACAGTGCAGTTCGATTGATTCTTTAAGGTCCCCGGTACGTCTATCCTATTATTATCCTGCCTTGTCCATCATCCTGTACTCACCGGTTTGTATTGTCAGTATCTAGGGTGCGCAGATCAGACGGCTTCGCTAATACAGTAGGATGGTACCTACAACTAATTCGGAACGGCACGGTACAGTTCGATTGGTCCTTCAAGGTCCCCGGTACGTCTGGACTCTGTATTCTCAATATCTGGTTAGTTGTTATACTGAACGCACCTGTTTGTAATACTCATATCCAGTGTGCACAGGTCAGGAGGGTCTTCTCATTCAGCAAGATGGCTCACGGTACTACCTATGTCTAATTTCAGAGCAGTGCAGCGCAGTTCGATCGATTCTTGAAGGTTGCCAGGGCGGTTGTATCGTTCTCGTCTACCATGCCCATCACACTGTCCCTGCCGTAATGTATTAACAGTATCCGGTGTGCCGGAATGGATTATGTGCTTCCAGGTAATACTGCTGCCGAAAATCAGAGCAGCTCGGTACAGTTCGATCGATTCTTGAAGGTCCGGTCGTGTTGATCTGTCTTGCAGGACGCTTTTCATATATCATGTGAAGACTATGATATTTGATGGCTTGCATGATAAGAGTACAAGGCGTGTCAAACGTAACCGCAATGATGGAAGAAACTCCTGGCCTGTGCCGGAGTTATCGTATAGATCACACGATATAGCTGTTCGTATACCCTGAAATCATCACCAGTATCATCTCGAGTGATTTTTCCTTCCCGACGAAGTTGGCTTTTCAAGAGCGAGAACGCCAGCTCAATCGGATTGAAGTCTGGTGAGTAAGGAGGCAGAAACTCAAGCTTCACACCCCTGATTATTTGTGAGCAGGTTATATGGACCTATTTCTCTTGAAATGCATACCTCTCTTCAATAATTCTACGGACTTCCGGTGCTTTGTGTATAGCACAATTATCCATTACAATAACGGATCTTGGACCAGGAAACGGCTGACAATGATCCAACAGGCTCTTGATGAATTCGGTAAAGCGTTCAGCATTAAAAGACCCCTCGATGATAGTGCAGTCAACAATCCCATCAATCGCAATACCAGGCAAAACAGAGTATCTTTGTTCGGATGGTGAGTAATTATTCTCTATATACGGATTTTCAGATTTCTCACCTCTTTCCTCTCATGAAGAATACCTTACGGACTGCACGTAGACCCTCTAATGCCCATGCTTCGTCTCGCATGTAAGCTCGCCGATCACAAGCACTTTCATCGACAAATATGAGCTGATCCGCCTTGTAATTCAGGGTCATATACACCTTGAATTCTGCTCGCAATTGTTCATTTCTCTCCTGTGCCTGTTTACTTATCTACACTGTATCAGTTAAATAGATATTAAAGTAAGTAAATCATATTTACTAACCTTCTTTAATGTGAAACCCACCCTCGTCAACGTTCTCCAGATTGTTGACTCTGAACACTTGATCCCACATTGTCGCTCTATGATATCCTTTAGCTCGTCAAGGTAAGTATCATTCCGAAACTCTAAGGCACCCAGGAGGAGCTATAAGATTCAATTTACATGTTACTTGATGCCAACAAGTGTAATGTGTGATTTTTTTGGTTTTACCCCCGTGTCATTGTAATCAAGTGCTCGTGGCCGTCCTCTGATTGATTTCGTCTTTGTAACACTGCCTCCTTCTGACCACGTCCTCAAAATATGATAGACAGTCGATGATGGTATGTTCAAATAAAACGATATTTGAGCAACTGGTATGTTGCAAATATGACGCATTCGAACTATGGCAGCACGTATATCCTGTGGTACTGCCATTCCTATAATAGGAATTAGACAGTGTATACCTGAGATGAGTATTTACAACACACCTTCTAATGCTTCAGGAAAAATACTAATTCAAGCTTCGATAAACAAGCTGGCAATGTAGGGCAGTAAGGGGAGGAGGGTCAAAACAAACTGAACGAACAGTTACACGACCCCATGTGAATGTTGGAGTTGCTGAGCGCTCGGATCAGTCCGATCAAGGTACTTTTGGTAATTCCACTGACTTTTCAGAAAACAGGCTTCGGTGCCATTCTACAAACATGACATTGAGCTCTCAAAGCCCGACTACACCCTATACCCTGGTGTGTTTCCTTCCATCATGCCGCCCGAATCCACTGGCCTTGAATCGTCTACAGAAAAACCGACACGTAGGAAGATACCTTCAATAAAAGCACGCGAAGCTGCTCAAGCAAAGGAAAGCAAGCCAATAGGCTCTGTACAAGCGAAACGTCTGCCTGGACGCTCTCAAAAGCTTACGAACACTATGCTTGACAGTCAGTCAGATTCTGTGCCTCCTGAAAGTATCCCTACAGTATGTATTCATTCTAACTACTCTATTTTTTGCATATCTTACTTCATTTATAGATCAAGCATAAAACGTCAGACGTACTGAAAGAAGGTCAAGCCAACGAACCAAAGGCTGGTGTCAAGCGTGGCCCTGGACGACCCCGTAAAGTTGCTACAGACTCAGCAAATATACAGCCTACAGTAAACAACATTACTCCTAGTATTCAGGTAAGCTTTCCTCATTCTATTACGTTGTCACTATACTAATTTATGATAAGTCTGTTGAGATTGTCGATGAAGTCGTTGATCTACCTGATGATAGTGTTGATCTCTATGCCGAAGAACCGTCAGAGCTTGAATTGACTCGTGCAGCTTCATTAGTAGTAATGGGTAGTGATGATGATGAAGCCAGAGAAGATAATAGGGAAGAGTTTGACTTGGATGAAGTCTCGGATGATGAAGAGTTTGACATTACTAGTATGTATTCGTATCCACTACTTGTTATTACTAGCTAATTGATAACTGTATCAGCTGTTCGTAAATCTGGCCAGGCTGTATCATCAGCTACTCAGACTCAAAGACTGAGTCGGTCTTCTCAAGACACGAAGATTGTTATTCAGGTCTCTGATGGTCATGCAGCACGCGACTTGACCATATGCAAGTCCTGGAGGTTTTGTGTTCTTCTACATCAAACAGAGGATATTATGAAAACGCCTAGGAGTCATATTTCTCTTGTGTACGAAGCCCCATGGTGTAAACGAACTGGTCTGAAAATGGTTCCACATTATCTGGAAAATGACGACGATTATGCGAAACTGTTCTCTCGATACAAAGAATACATGGATGCACAGCAGAAGAAGAAGAAGGGGGGTGCCGTATCATGTCCAATCATCCTTACTAACATCAATGATAAATTTCAAGTAGTCTTTTCTTTATTTCTTTAAAAACTATTTACTGATAATGAACAAGCAGGCTTCAAAGGCTACAAGTCGTAAGACTAATGAAACTAAAGCATCCGACTCTTGGTCAAACTCGAACAATGCAAAGACATCTATGCTGTCTATTATTGCCGAAAAGCTTCAGGAGATAGAGGCAAACTTCTATTGTCAAAAACACAGTCGGACATGCTACAAGACATACCATGGTGAACACAAATTGTATACGAATGATCACTTAACTACTCATGCACGACTTCTTGTGAGTCACTAAATACTGAACTGTTTTTAAAGCTAATAATTGTGAAGAGTAAGGGTGTTAAAGGTGTTACAGCCAAAGATGTGCCTGAGCAACTCAAGATTATGGACTATATCAAACCATCCAAGGCTCGAGAAAAGGCTGTAGGTGATAACATGGGTGATCTTGCAGATGTTAAGAGTAGCGTTGGTGTAACGATTCAGGATAGTCTCTCTCAACCTGTTATGCCGCCATCTGAAGGAATACTCCATCAGAAGGTTCGGGACTGGCTCTACGCATGCACGACTCGTCAGGATCGTGGTCAGGATGGTCATGACTATATGGCACTGGCTGATGTATTCGAGCAGAACGAGATTACGCGTCTGGACGATATTACCTTTCTTACCACAAAGGATATCATTGACCTAGCTCATGATTGTGGGGTTACTGTCTCGCGAGGTCTTGCTAATCGAATCATTAGATATTCAAATGAAGATATTAAAGATCATAAGGGGAAAGGAAAGGAGTAAAGAGACCGTACAATCCTTGTAAGCAACTCTTCCACTTCTACTTTTAATAATGTATTGATTCTTACATTTCTATACTAAAGGTACAGTCTATTGGTAAATGATTAGAAATAGATTTGCTTTACTTGTGTCCTGAATGTTTGAATGCCTATAAC